AGTGCAACAGCAGAATTCTAGTTATCCAAACCCAAGAATTTCTTGAAGAAAGCCCCTGTCTCATAAGACTTAAAGCCTGAACTTTATAGTTAAGAGGTTAGTTGAAGCACTTCAGAAGTTCATCCAAAGCCAAAGTGATCACTGCCTCTTCCAGAGGTATGCATGCATGAACTAACCTGTAGGCTTATTGCTACATTCTAAAAGCAACAGTCTATCAGCTATGGTGACAGAGTGGCAGATACCTTTTCATCCTTCTATGGTACTTCATTTTAAAAATATCACTTTAAAATGATCCCTTGAATGCAAACTCATGAGTTCTACACATAGGTTACAAAAAGAGCCTAAACAAAGTCAGTCAAATCAAAACCCTTAAAAAGAAAAGAGCTAAATGTAGGTAGGGTGTAGGGGACCAGCCGCTGGTCTCAAAATTAAGAAAAATGGCTAAGAGGAAATATCATTAATACTCAAGCTACATACCATTTCAGTTTGTAACTGATAAAAAAATGTCAAACAAAAAAGCATAAAACTTCCCCAGCTTATATATATAGACTTTTTATAATACTGTAATAAAAGGTCAGATTTTTTTCCTTATCCACCCAGGATGTTATATCTACCTTTTATCTCCAGTATTTTTATCCAGTATTTTGTCATTACAAACTACTTCACCTGTTCATCATGATACTAGTTTGTCACTAATTTACTTTATGAAATTACCTGTATATAACTTCTTTCAAGTATATGCTTTCAATAGTTATTTCTTAGCGATCTAGTAAGTTTCACAATGTTTTAGTGAGATATGTCCTATATAATATTGCAGATATTTTTCAGTGTAAGCATTTCTCATCTTCAGAAAGCATAAACTTCACTCTGTTAAATCTCACAAAAACTCTGTCAGGTAGCTACTAGTCTATTAAAAATATGCCAACTGCTCTACAGAGAAAGTTACATTGTTACCTACTTCTACAGAAATCAGCAGGACATTGGCTAATGTGTAAATAATATTATGTGCTATACCTGCTTTGCAAAAAGTATTTCCTAAAACGTAAAATCATGTACTACAGAATTCATCCAGGGAAATGTACAGGAAGGACAAACAGTAGTGACTGAATTGTTCACGTGAAAGAACAGAAAGACTATGGAGGACTCAGTGTGGAAAATACTAGAAGTCACATCACTGTTACCCTAAGATACCTCGTAGCAGTACTAGAAAATAATATTTTTTACAATTCTGATTGCTTCTCATGCCTGAATTTTATTTCCCAGTTACATCTTAGTGATATTGATATATATATATGTATATATTTAATATCAACTATTTTCTGTCTTTGTAACTACACCCTGGTTTTCTCTTTATCATTTGTATTTAGCAGTGACTATAGCAAGAAGCAATTGTTTGTTTGTTCTGAGTATAACTAAACTAAGAAGGCCATTTTTTTCTTGTCTACTGACCATCTGATTCTGGTGTATCAGGGCACATAGTAAAAACATTAGAGAGTCTTCTGATGAGCTGATCTGTAAACAGCAGCAAAACAGCTGTTTAGCAGTAATCTCATTACCTATAGAGCAGATCTCATTGCTTACAAACATGAAATTCAAGACAAGGATTGTTATCTTTTTGGTAACTTCTTAATTTTTTTTGCACTAGATTGTAATTGTGCCAAAGTCATTACCCTACTTGTCATTAAGTGTGTACTTTTGGTCTCAGTCACATTTTGTACACATATATTGGTATGTATTTTGGTATATATGCAACAATGAGTACTGTTGTTTATTTAACAGGTGAAACTTCAATCAAAGATTATAATAAAATTCCTGCTTTGTGTTCTATGAGACCTTAGAAGTCTCATTACAGGAATATATTACAAAGCAGAGATTATAAATTAAATTTAAAATTTAAAATTTAAAATTCCCCATGGACTTTCGTAACAAAACTACCTATATCTAGTAAATTTAACCAGTGATAATTGCATACTGCCTACAAACCACTTCTGTTTCCAAGCTCTGTATGTATGTGTTGAGAAGAAACGTTGTATATGAGAGAGGTAAGCTTCTTTATTGTGCAAAATGATTCCTATATAGTTTATGAGCCCTTTGGGGACTTTATTGGCTGAAAAGCAGAATGAAATGTGAGATCAAACTTGCTGGTGTGTTGGTTTTTTCTCTTCTTAGTAAGTGGAGTTTGTAGAAACAATTTTCATGCCTACATTCTAGTTGCTGCGATAGTTACCATTTTATAGCAAGGCTCTCCTTAGTATTAAAAGCTATGCAGTGCAATCGTCAAAACATACATAATCATATGTTAATTTTAACTTCTCACCTAAATGTTTAATAATCATATAGAAGCATGTTATTCCACATAGTTCAAAAGGCAACACGTATAAACATACATATAAATGCTACAAAGCAGATTCCATGCATTTATCTATTTTGGAGAAAGTTAAAAAGTATACACATTTGCTATTTTAAGAGCTGAAACTACATCTTTCAACAGAATCTAGCTGCTTTCATTTTGTACATGCATTTAATTTTATCGAGAAACTTTCTGACGTTAGGAATAGAACAACTGTAGTTTGTCATTACGTTCACTGCCAGAATCTATGCTTGGTTGCTCAACTAAAGACCTTATATTGCTAATTACTACCACATGCCCATATCCCAAGCAAAGGAAAACTTATTGGTTCTGACAATCCATTCTCTCAACACTGAATTCCAAATGAAAACTTAAATTTTGGCCAAACATAACATTTCATCAATCTTGTTCTACTGACTGCAAAAGCAACATCAAACAAGGGGTGCTAATGGCTTTTTACTGTGCAGTTCCCAAGCTTAGATTCTTTGATGAAAGACCCACATGAGCAAAAGACATCTTTAAACTACTTAGTAATTAATAATTGAACCAGAAAACAATGCATAAAGTAAATCCAACAGTTTGTATGCTGATGACAGAGCTGAGTTTCAAACGACAAGTTATATGGGCAGTAGAGATCAGCAGAGAAAGCACTGACAACAGAGTGAGCTAAAAACAAACAGATAGTGCATACAAATAAAGACAAAAAGAAAAGGTGAAAAAATAAAATTAAGCACGCCCCAAAGCTAGCAGAAGCCTGTAATTTGGAGTTGAGCTTTTCAGGATGTGGGGTTCTGACTGAAGATCAGGTCCAAGTTTAGAGACATCTGAGCAATGCTGGGTACTAGTGACAATGTAGAAGGGGAGAGACTAAAACTCTGTATGTAAAATAGTTTTCACCCATATTCCCCTCTGCTATAACTCCTTTGGAGCCTCAAAAATAGAAGTGTAAATTCTCTGTTTGAAAAACTTCTCTTTTTGAGAAACCAAGTATGAATACAAATATGAAACTGAGTAGGCCTCTGTCACAAACGTTTTGGGAAATTAATGCTACTACTCTATCTCAGAAATAAATTAAGGCTTTTTGTTGTTGCTCACTGCATAAGTGAATTATGATACAAGTTACCAACATTAGTGTTTACAGTAAAAAAACCTAGACATTTGAGGGTGTCTCAAAAAATTAAAGTATTGAAGTTTTCAATTGTGTCATCTAATTGCTTGAATATTATTGAACACACAATAGTATAAGCTATAACTAAAGAAAAAACTTTATCTACCCAGTGAGGTAAAATAGTATTCTAGAATTAGCTCTGTGGGACATTTACAGTCTTTCTGCTCCACAGAGAGGAGAAACAACTTGATAAAACCATAATCAACATTTATAAAATGATGCATGGGTGATGATGTGAAAGGAATAAAGTAAAAAACATGTCTTCTTAAAGTAAGGAGAGGGACAATGAATTAGATGCATCGCTTGCAGTACCTTCTTTATGTTATATGGAAAGGATTCTATATGACTAGTCTTTTAGGGCAAATATATCTCTACCAGTGAATATCACAATGATATGTAATGAAACAAAAGATGGCAACACTAAAAGTGATATAGAGGATAAACTACTACATCGCCAAGTACATCTAGTTCATTAAAGGCTATATCCCAGCAGGTCTAGATGCTGGGAATGCCAAAAAGAGCTGGTTTTAACTTGGTCAAGAAAACAAGCAGTCTTTCAATAGAAATGTAATAAGCTAATGTGATCCAATAAAATTTGCTAGCAGGTAAAAATAGAATGTTTTACGGATTTGGTTTTTTTCCATACTATATTGATACTAAGGCTAGTACTTCCTCTTCTTAGAATAGGTTTTATATGGTGAGTGGAAGAGAATCACTTTAAAATCCTTGGTCATAGATCCTAAAATCACGAGTGTTTGCAATATTCATATGAAGTCAATAGGAGCTGCATGAGATCCGAATCTGCTGTTTGAACAATGAGAAACAGCACTATCAGACTTCTGACATAGCCAGTCTAATGGAATAACCCAATCAACATAAATCCCATATTTTGCACTCCAGTAAACCCAAGTTTTCTAAAGAACTGAGTTGTTTGAAAATCATGTGAATTATCCTTGTCACTTAGTAAAGAGATGCCCACATGATAATCTGTTGCTCAAAACTGTGAAGTGACAAGTCAACCTTGTTCCAGGAGCTAACTGCATATGCAACAGCAGCGTTTTTTACAAGATAAGTCACTGTAGTCTTAGTGGTATCGAGGTTCTCTTGAAGTAGGGACAGAATGTTGTGACTTGTACCATAGCATAGCCCAGGTCTCTAATTATAGTGTGACAACTCTCCAGTGGTAACATCTGATATCAAGGAATACAGCCTTATAAGCTGTGAGTCAGCTATTACCACCTTCAGGGGCTCTTTAAAGTCACACAACCACACCTGGTCTTTTTTGACTTACTTTCTGCCTCGGGTTGAGTTAAAAGTCCCGCCGTATTTCTTCCGATTAAGGATGAGAGCAGCAATTTCTGGCACGTAGCGAGCAAACATTGCCTACATGCATGAAACAAAAACACAAAAAAAAAAAAAGAAAATGGCATGCAGAGAGTGTTCTACTGCAGCAGAGGCAGCAGAGCCTCTTGGGATACTTACTTTCTTCCACTAACCGCACTATAGGAACCACCATATTTCTTGCGGTTTCCTATTAACTCTATGATTTCAGGGACGTAGCTGGCAAACATGGCCTAAGAAGAAGATAGGAGACAGAAGAAAAGACTAAAAAGAGAGGCCAAAGAAAGGGGGATGATGAATATTTTCAGAAGATATATATCTTTAAGATCTGAAAATGCAAAAGAATTAGATCTATGAAGTTGTTTAAGAAGAAAATTTAAAAAATGTAAAAGTTCTTATCAAACAAAACAAGAGGGGTCAATGTAAAAGTTGGTCTTGGAGAAGGTGCACACCTTATAAACTAAGAAAATGGTCAAAAGAAGAAAAATAGGCACATAAAACAAGAACAAAATTAATTCAAACTGGTATCTAATCATAAAAATACAGGTATGTCTAATTCTTCCTGAAGAGGGAAGGGGGAAAAAACCTATCCAAGCTCCACTGCAAAAAACAAAAACAACTATTAGCATTACTGTTACATTTCTATTTTAAAAGACAGACTTTTTTCCCCCATGATTAGGATTCAAAAAATGACAAAACCAAGATGGAATCAGGGGTTATTCCCCCATCAAGAAACAAAAAGGTCACCCCCCGCCCCTAAAATAACTTCTCCAAAAGTTTATGTTTTTAAAAGGATTAGAATAATACATGATAGAAAAAAGGTTTTAAGGAGAAAATAAAAATTACTCTGCCATGTTTTGTCCAACAAACATCTTCCTTGTGGCTGGATACTTCGAAGAGCTACTGCCAGTTGACATGGTCTTTGTCTTCATATGTCAATGAACATAGATGGGAATGCATATATTTATGCTCATATATATACTCATATATATGTATCTGTATGTGTCTCATATATGGCATTCATAACATTAGTTATATACATATCACCTCTGTAAGATATATGTATATGTGAAATCAATATATGAGAGTAAAGTAACAATATACATATGTATGTACGTATGTGCACAATATATATTGTGAGTCATCCATACAGCACTTACCTTGCACAGTGTAAATATTAAAATAAACCTTGCTGGTTTAGAGAATAACATTGAAACAGGTCCTATAATATTATTAACACTGATAAGTAATAGAAAAGTTGACATAAGACAATTACTAACTTTGGTGCTATGTACATACAGGACAAAGAACACAAGACTTTGCTGATATAAAAGGATACTGGTTATGGCCATGTGATAAATTGAGAGTTAAAATTGTGCTACATGACATGAAAGGATGTTTGAAATTAAAGAGAATGTGGTTTGCCATCATCTGGATCAGGCAAGCTGCTCTTTAAGGCAGTCCAAAGCCACAGTGTTTGTTGGAATTCTGGGAAGGAACACAGAAGGGTGGGTAGGACTTCTGAAACCGCAAAGTGCCTTTAAGTATCAATAGCAGCCTCAAAAAAATGCACTACAGTCAGTCACTAAAAAGTAAAGGACTACAAATAACATTACAAGGTGAAATATTAAGGCACTTCATGTATTCACATGCACTACTCATTTAAATGGATTAGAAAAATTCTGACTCTACTGAACGGGACTAATTTAACAAGCTCTGCCAAAATATTTATCTATAGAAAAAAATGGGGTGTATTAAACATATTTAAAAGTTTTATAATTAATTTTAATTCAATAAACCAGATATTACTGTTTCTTTAATTACAGCATTGAGATATACAGGATCAAGTATCAAGTTAGCTGGAATAATAACAATAATAAAAAAGAGTTTTTACCAATCCCCCAAGGATGAAGAAGACCATGAAAAGGCGACCAAGGGTTGTTTTTGCATAAACATCTCCATAGCCAACAGTGGACATTGTAACCATCAGTAAATAAACACATTCCCAATATGTTAGCGGTTGATTATTTTGGAAATTTTCCCATGGATCCCCTGAGTTCTCCACCTAAAGTGTATAAGAAAACATATAATGAATTAATAGAGTTGTACCACAAAGTGGCTCTACTGATATATGTGTGTGCACACGTGTGTGTGTATATATATACATATATAAATATAACATTTGGCATACAATATAAACTCTGAATCCTTTCCTGTGATTTATTTTGAAGAAATACAGAACCTAACCCTGTCCCAATTATAGCATTACAGTTCTTTTGCCAATATGAATAGCCTTGTCACTCATATTATTTATGGAAAATATCTTTTCCATTCACCACTAAATAATATAACTTATTAATGCAGCTAGGTAAGTTCATTTCATAGCAATTTCTTCAGAACTTTTTCAGAGTGAATCTTAATTGTAATGCAATTATATTTCTTCATGTTTTTGTTTTAAAGCATTATGTAGGCATGCTTTAGTAACATGTTAAGTTTACAGATACACTATTACTTTTCCTAGAAGCCAGCTACTGTATGTGACAAAGTTATAAATTTAGCAGTGGGAAAGTAGCATGCCCTCTAAAATTTGTTCCACAGTAAAAAGTTTGAAGTTTGAGGATCCCTACAGTAGAATAGAGAAATTTATGCTGAAAAGAAAAAACAAAAACAAAAACAAAACCACCACAAAATCCAAGCCCTAGGACATAGCATTCCCTCCCTTCTCATGTAATTTTAAAAAGAGCTTTTTTTTGTTGTTGTTCAAAAATAGAAAAAGCTAATGTTTCTATGATAAAAATGCTATATTTGCCCAGAGGAGTGTAAAAATGTGGTAATCTGTGAATGGGAAGTATATAATAAATGAAAACATTCAAAATTCCAGTGCATCTTTATGAGAGTGAGAATTAAATGACTATCTAGTAGAACAAGAAGATAAACATTCTGAGTTTAATCTTATATAGCTGAATACAGCTCAAGGTAATTCAAGTGAAGTCAATTCAATTGCTCTGGACTAACATCGATATCATTAAATTACAATATTAGTCCAAAACGCTTCCTGAATTCCTGAATCTATTACTACTAGAACCTTGACATTTTCCTGATTCTAAGTTGATCATAAAATCTACTTAAAGGACAAACACTTAGCTATATTTAATTATATTTACCAAGCAAATCAGTAAAAGCTATTAGTTTAAAATCTTTAAAATACACAATTGATATATACCTATCATATATATGCATATTCACATTCATGAACTCATATGTACTTCTATACTATCTATCTTACATTTTTCAGGTATTGTTAAATGCTGAATAAAAATCTATTACAAAAAACTGTTATCAGTGATTGAAAGCTATACCAAAAAAATTTGAAATTTAAAAACAAAAGAGAAGGAAAGAATCTCTAAAACTCGGAATGTTAGCAATCCCATTACTTCTCGTGGAAATACAGAACTGCTTTCTTCTGGCACAACCATTGATTTCCCAGGACCTCAGTATCATTTCGGCTCTGCCAACCCCTTCCAGGAAGCATTCACGTAGTTATTTAGGAAACATTGCCACCTACTGGTAAACTGTAATCATTCAAGAAGTTGCATCAGTTCAAGTCTCTTATTTTATTGCTGAGGTTAATGATGTATTACTTACTATTCAGAATTAGCTTTGAGTAGAAGCCTAAAATTCAGGAAGCTGTAATGTCTTTTTTTGTTGTACTCCACAGATGTGTTAAGGGATTATCCAGAGCAAGGCAATTTCAGGTAATAAAGTAGCTCAGAGAGCAGACGATCCATGAGAAAAAGTCAATGAAGTATTTTCAAATATACTTACCAAATGTATGAACCCAGCTGCTGTCAGCCACGTGCTGATAAATATAGAGCACAGATTCACTAGCTTGATGGAATTACTGAAAACAAACAAAACCCAGCAACAAATAGGAACTTAGACTGGAATTTATCACACATTTTTAATATGTACCTGTATACAACTGCATACTTTAGACTGAAAGAGTCTGATGAAGATTTCTGAAGAGATGCAGGCTCCCTAAAAGACTTAATCAAAAGCCGATGCAAAATATGTATTATTTTGTCTTTGCAGACTTCACATTTGCATAATTTAGATCACTTGAAAGAAAAATTCCAATGCATCCAAGAGCAGAAAGACAAATGGAAACCTTAGCTACATCTGTACTCATAATCAAACAAATAAAAATAAATAATGCGTTTTCACAAATAATTTGATCACGTCTCGGTACACTCACCTTCTCATTTTTCATTGTTATATACCTCAGCAATTATTTACATGTAAATATTCTGCTACCCTGGAATACATCCATGCAGGTCCAATGAATTAAACTGAGCAATGCCAGTTTACGTTAGCTGCTGCACACAGCATTTATACGTACAATTGACTGATGTTTTTTGAATTATTTCATTTTTCGTTAGCTTGTATGCTTCTTCTGTATTCATTGTGCTTTTGACCCGAGACCTGTGGTGGCTTTAAAAATTAACAGCAAGAGGATGTTTTTGTTGCCTACTCACCACATGTTAACACCTGCATACATGACCACAGGGCAAGACTATTTCCCTACAGTTATAGCGAACAATAAATGAACTATTCCAGCCAATCTGTAAATGTCATGCTGCTTTTGTGAAAAAAATTATGATTCCCAAATTAAGTAACTTCAGTATTTCACACTTCCTGTGTAAAGTCCTAAGGAATTTTCATATTATTCTGCTTGCATGAACTCCTATGGACTTCTTTGTGGAAATTCATATGGAGCTAGAGTATTTCACATTCACATTTTTAAAAAAGTAAAAAAAAAAACCAAAAACAAAAACAACAAAAAAACCAAAGATTGTTAGAAGACTAGACTTTCAAAAAAAAAAAACAACCCAAAAACTTTAGGAAAATACCATTCTTAAAAGTTTATCGAAGAAATGTAAGTAAAGCTCACTCCCTTTCTTACAAAAATCACTATGATTTCAAAAGCTAAGAAGGATATTCAACAAATACACTAGGAATAGAAGTCCATGTATTACTATGTCTAAAAAATCTTACTCATTCATGGATCTGTATTGGAAATAGCTCTCCTTTGTTTTTGAAAAGATTTCTAAGAAATAACGATGCCTCAGAAAAATCACTATTATTCCTAAAGCAATACATTCCAAAAGAATAAAAATCAGGAAAAATTCACTATCAGTGTTAGTAGTAGTAGTAGCTTCGCAGCAGAATTAATTAATATTTCTGTTTATAACTACTTTAAGGACAATAAAAATGCATTATTTTCTAACAAAGTTGAGATATGAACCTGGAAAATTAATCAGACCAGCTCCATTAAAAATATTTTTAAGAGTTACAGTTAGTGAAGTGGGCAACTGTGGGTACTAGGAAAGAAATACAAAAATATTCAAAAATAAGATAATATACCAGCAGTTCTGCAATTAATTAGCGTTAACCTACATCAACACATATCCCCTATTTCTCTCTTTCTTAAGGTATGGTTGATTAAGGTTCATATTTTGTTGGTGATAAAATTCAGTCATAGCACAGAACCCTAAACAACAGGTTCCTAGATTAAACAAAATGACAGAAATTATGCTGATGCAAAGCTCCATTATAAAAGGCTAAATATCATCCTTCACCTGAACTTAGAACAGGAGTGGTTCCTGATACAATAATGTGTCAGTTGGTCTCCACATATTACCAAACACAAGTAAATGACAGCAGTCATCAAAAATAACTATTTACATTACTTATTTGGTACATTTTATTTTTGCAGATTTATTAAAAATAGTACCTTATCTCTCCTCTATGAAATACTCCTGTGTTTCTGTCAGAGTCTAAATATAGATGAAGGATTAGTCACAAACATTTTCCTGCTCTTTAAGCTCTTTCCAACATCTGTGCAAAATCCCTTACTGTGAGCCCTGTCTAAGCCTCTGTAGTTTTGTTGAAAAATATTAGAAAAAAAGTGAAGAGGAGAAATTTTCAACTGAACAGCACACAATTCATTCTATTTCATAAAACACAGGAACAAAAAATATTGAGTAAAATACATTTAATTTCAAATTAGGGAAGTAAATAGATCCTTGGCAGAGTACAGTGTTTTAATACACCACAGTAAATTTTGCTTTGTCTTACTGGTTCTTTTCAAATATAATTAATAATTTTTCAGATATTCTAATAACTATCTAACACTCCCACACTAGTTTGCTAGTCTTCTCACTGCCTCTATTTTTGTATTGTTTAGCTTCTTCCTTCCGATTTCAGTGTTTGGAATGGCCCTTCTGCCCATTGTGTAAATAATACATGTTCCTTTAATCCTCATATCTCAGTCACTAATTCCAGGAGTAATTTTAATTTATAGATCAGAGCAAACCTTTTTCATTACTAGGGGAAAGAGGAAAAGAAGGACAGAATTTCTTCTCTAATTGCACCAGATATTAAAAACACACCAGTGCCCTTTATACCCTATCAGTTTCTCATCTTGTCAGTAGCTACTTGTTATTAATGCCAAGCACACTGAAATGCCTCTAGTTGAAACAGTCATATAAGGAAGCTCTGCTTTACAGGCTTTCTAATATTCAACATTTGAGTTTTACAGATATTTGGACATTTATATAAATAATCACAGAGATGATGATATCTAATCTAAGAGTAAATTTTGCACCAGAGAAATGCTATTTAAATGAACAGCTCAGTCTTGGATAAGCCAGCTCTAAATAGACTGAATGTGATTAATGCAGTATCCCTTCATTTATGGATCTGGAAGTTTACAAATCCACCACTCCTGAAGGGGCTTTTAGCCTTTATCCAAAATGCTTTGAATTTATGGGGCTTTTCCATTGACTGCCATTTCTTTTGGTGAGGTTGTTCTGTGTGTTAAATGCTGAGCTCCTGCACAAATTACTCTCTTTTACCATACTGGTAGCATTCTAAGCTACTAGACCACATCTTCACTGCACATTCTTTGATTTCTTTATTTGACAAGAACTGGATTCCTTACAGTCACACAGCTAAAGACAAACAGTGTGAAGTTTTACAGCAAAGAGAATAGTTTCAAGGTTAAGGGTTGAAGAAACAGCCATTTACCATGACTATGTACAAATCTCAAGGACCTATTTCCCCATCACTACTAATTAACATAGCAAGTAAACAGAGTTACTTGCATATAAAGCCTTCACACATGCATCATCAACTGGTGGAGAGAGCGTAGGATTTTATAATGGAACTGAGTTTACAGTAATTATTGGAAGCTGGATTCAATACTTCAGCTAGGGCATTTTAGGGAATGATGAAAAGTAATGTGTCTTCAACTACGAGGCATGGGAAGGTTCCTTTTTTTTTTCCTTCAAAGTGATCTTTTGTTCAAAGTTGTGCTGCTTCTGCACAACTCTCATGTATCAACAGCTTGAAGAATCAGTGAAAGCCAGAAGGTTACTTGAAATATTTTAAATATTCTTTGAAAGAAATGCTAATGACAATGAACACAATATAAAGATAGCTGAGTGTAAAACTAATTTTTAATTTGTTTTTGATGTGAAGAAGGATGCTCAGTCCAAAAAAAATGAAATAGAGCCACAATGATTATTTCTCAAAGTACTTTTTAGCTATATTCTGTTGAATGAATTGTGATTTCTGTTTTTCCAAGGCAGCAGAATATGGACTGATTATTTGGAAAGAAGCAATATTTAATTAGTGCAGAGCTCTGTAATTCATTCTGCTTTTAATTTATCAGCACTCAGTCTTGCTCAGATATTTCAAATGCAACAACACATCAAATAAAATCTTCTAGTGATCACATAGCAAAAGATGCTGGCACTGATAAGTCATTCATTAGCAGAAAAATCTTTAGAGAACAGATAACAAGTGTTTTTTTCCAGAAAAGAAAATCATATATTACTAGGACCACAAACAAGCCAATTATGTTCTGTCACCAATGCAATTAACTTAGTATGTAAGAAAAGGTCTTACCTTGTTTTAAGGATATTCAGAAACTGCAAGATTTCTGAAAACTGTATCAGTCTAAGGGCTCTTAAAAATCTTAAACCTGCAGTAAAGAATAATAAAAAGCAGCTCTGGTAAAGAATAATTCAAATTATAACAAGATTTCACTTACAATGATAGCGATCAATAAAATCAACATAAGTAGCATACAAAATGTTAAATACCTTTGAAATGTTCTTCCATATTTAATGGTTCCAAGATCCCTACCAGGTCTTTTTCAAATTGTTTTAAATGTTTTTCCTTAATAGCTGAAATATCCTACCAGAAAGCCTTAGTTTATGTAGGAAGCCATGGGAGGAGACATACAGGCTGAAAGCTAAGGGGAAAAAACCTCACTAAGGTTCTTTTGGTAGTTCTAGTGTACATGCCCTTCTCTTCCAGGCTGTCAAAGACACATGCAGATCTGAAACTGCTCAGTCCTCCAAGCTCCCACATTACTTAGTGAAAAAAAAAAAGAGATTATGGGTAAGAGATCTGATAACCTGGATAAAGTACACTGTTTATATGCCTGATTAAATTGGTCAATCTTAATGACGTAAAATTGTATTGTAATAATGCTCCCTATCTCCACCCTAATTTCTAAAAAAAGCAGGAAAACAGAGGAATGAGACATTCTCTTAAAAATGACAAATCTACTATAATTCTTTCCATAAGACTATAAGAATAGATTACACTTTGACTATTAAAGAAGTAACTGTTTTTACAAAGAAATAGCATTTTTGTGTTGAAATCAGGTTGCACGAATAGCAATTCCCAGACAACTGCAAAGCCAGACAGATATACACAGAGAGAGTGTGTGCAAAACAAAATACTATAGAAGATTAAGGGCTTAAATTATAAGAGAGACTTATGCTGACAGTAAATAATTTGGCTGTAGATCTTTGGCATATGAATAAAAGTAGATTGCGTATTATACATATGCACAGCTTATAAAATTAAAATAAGGCTTTGAGGATAATTTTTATTAGATGGTACAGCCAAGAGTTACATAAAAGTTGTGTAACATGGTATTGTGACTGTTACATTTAGGTTCAGGGCAGCTTCCTCTCATACTTCCTCTTTACTGGCATTTATTTTACCCACTTCCGGTGCTATAAACCACTTTTTATTTCTAGAAATTTAAGGAAAGACTGGTCCTGGCAAACATAAACCTGGTCACAACCTTCATCATCTCAGTGGAGTCGAGAAGTTCTCCTCAAGAGCAAAGATGTATGTGGTGAGATGTGTTTACATCAAGGCTTTATTTCTGCAGTATTCTTAGAAAGTTGTTAAATAAATTTTTTACTCATGTTAAGGCTCATAAGTAGCCTTATTAAGGCTTATAAGTAGCCTTAACAAAGTAGAAAATCACTCCTGTCTGTGTATTACATGGATAAAAAGTTTCTTTTTAATTACTGACTGTGGGGAAATCTGAAGATTAATCACAACTTGAAAACTGAATTTGGGGATCTAGACAAAAAGCAATAAAATGATGCCTAATAATTATAAAATTCAGATCTATTTGCAATTAGAGGATTAATCTTTTTTGATCATAGTGCTGAAACTGTGAAGACACATGTCCTTCTGCTCCACTTGCAGTAGTTCCCACAGTTCTATCCACTCCTATCCAAAGAGATGTGGCTGGACAGGGATGGAGAGGACCTTTACTAGCAACCCTAAGCTTTCTCAGCTCTGGATGGAACCATCCAGCTATCTCCCTCACTCCACTCCCTAGGAACATTTTGAAAAATGGCTGGTGGGAGAAAAATTCTCCCTTTCAAATGCTTTGCATTGCATCTGAAGTTAATAAGATGGCCAAGTTACCCATTGCAATGTTTCAAAAAGAAGCCTGAGAAACATCAAAGTTAGCAATAAAACCTCTATCTCCAAATTCTTGCAACACTTAAGATGTATTTTAGTTGCTGAGACTCCAATGATGGAACAAAAAGACTATGGCTTCAATGTATTTTTTGTGAAAGAAGAAAATCATTATGGCTTAAGTTCTGCATTTGCTACAGTCTACAATATTTTAAAGAATTCCCTCCAGAGAGTAGAATAAAAAGAAAAAAAAAAAAAAAGTGGAAAGTTTGTTTGAACAGTTTACTTGAGCTACAAATGGAACTGGCTTGTTATTGTAGGAGGTTACAATCACATTGTAACCTCTGTATCTTGTCTAGGACATTACTTGTGGGTCTGTGTTTTATAGCTAAAGGAATTACTACACCGAAAGGACCAAATTTTGATCTTCAGAAACCTCAGTGTACTACCTGCTTTGTGTGGTTCAAATATGAAGAACAAAAATGAAAGGAAAATAATGCTTTTCCTTATCATGATAGCAAATGAATTCTTTCCAGTATAATACTCTTTTCAAGACCCAAACAGTTGTGTTATTAGGTTCCTATATGCATGTCATTTTACATGATTTTCTGTACTTCCTGTCTTGCAAATAATCTGTGAGTTCCATCATCCTAGCAAGAAAGCAGTATTTAATAAGAATCTCTTCCTATGTTCACAGTATCAGGACATAACAAGGCATAAGCCCTATTAAAAGGCACTAAGAAAGGCAGATTCTCTGGATGAGATATTGAAAACTTCATAGACAAACTACTGTGATCTTGTATGATGCTACCTCTTCATATTTTATAGGCAATGTGTTTAATTAGCTTTTGTAGAAACATCAGTCAGAAATATTGAATTTTTGTATTTATTATAAAATACATTATACGTTAGTCAAAAGAGTCCTCTGGTAAATCAATATGTATAGGAAATAGAGGTTAAGAAAACCCTTCATGACAAGCCACCTTTGAAGCCTACAAAAATTATGTATTTCAAGTATTTTCAATGCTCATTAAAATTATATTCTCAGATTTGCTTCAAAGGACCTCTAAAGGTCTTTTTTATGAAAACCTAATTGGAATATAATACTCTTTCAGCTATGTAGAGACATCACCTCATACAAATTTCATCAGCAGAATGAATATTGCAGGAAAACACTTTTGTTTTCCCTGACAGTCACTGTTCCTGACCAGGGGATGAACAAGGAGTGCAATCTGCCCCAGTGGGGTAGAGTGTTAGGGTACTGGATTTAGTAATGAATCTACCGGTTTACTTCTGAGTTTTATAATCCCCATCAGGGGATCTAGCCAACTGATGGCTTTAAAATCCCTTTGACATTGACTGATGTCAGAGTCAAGGAGAACTTGGCTCTGGAGGAAACAAGCAGAGATGGGGAGTAGCATTCTTAGTATAAACCATAGCGAGAAAGGCAGTTTGCAAATAGGGCTGAAAGGCTTATAGTTGAGCAGGGAAGAAGCCCATTTAAAGTAAGAAAATCAGGAATATTCATGAGAGATGGGTATTCCAGAACAGTGTAAAAAAAGAACTCTGAAAAGTGATCTGAACAAAACACATAAAAGTACTGGACAAGGGTAAGGCTGCCGCTGGTAGGTTTAAGTAACCTTGTTTCCAGGTACTCCGAGTATCTTGCTCTCAGAGGCTGAGTGTACAAGCATCAATTAGTTCAGTGTTTGCAAGTGAAACCCATTATGCCTGCAGTTTACTGCCATAACACTATTAACACAAAGAGTCAGTCAGTCAAAAAAACTCTACATAGTAGGGACAAATTACACCATACAATGCACTAGCGTGTACACCTCCCCAGTAGGTTACACCATGTGAAGACTTTGTGTGGTCTGTTGGCAACATCCACTAATACCAGCAGAACTGAAACAAGGGAGAAAGAGGAATTCCCATTCTTGAATACGTATTCTAAAGCTTGACTGTGAAAGAGAAGACGTGCTGTTTTTGAATGAATCTGGCACTCTAAAACATTTAACAGCATTGACTGCTTGACCTTCTAGTAAATTATATGTTCATTTTGAAAGACTGCAGCTAATTCAGAGGTTTCAGACGCCTTCTTCAAATAGACTACAAAAAGCTGCTGCTGAGAGTAAACTGTAAGCATAAAAAGATGAAATGAGTTTGCCCCTAACTGTGTGATTATTTATATCACCTTGAACTTAGTAAGGCGATGATGAATCAACTGAATAATTTCCAGAGGAAAAGTCCACACAGCACTTCATTCTGGTGCTAGTATTAATGACATGCAACTGTGTGCTTGCAATCATACATGCATCTGTAAACTGATGACACAGTAATCCTCACAGCAATAACCTTGTTGCAATGAGACTGTTGTCAAACTAAAAATGGCCTAAACTATTCAGCAGGTAGCTTACTATGAATCCACACAAGATCAAAATTAAAACAAGTTAAATAGAAAAGATTTTGATGGGTCTAACTCAAGAGTAATTATTGACAAAGTGTCCGTAAAAATAGCCTGTCTCTGAAAACTAATCACATGTAATCAGTAACAAAATGCCCCATGCTATGCTCTCTCACTGTTTTCAAATCAAATTTGATTCACAACTAAGATGATGTTCTCTCTTTCATGCCCACCAACTCACCAAGAATAGAAATTTTGATGTTTGTTTATGCATCAAGAATAGTAAGCAAAATTCTATAGGAGCACTAACAAAAATTCCCATTTTCCCAAAGCTGTCTCAGCTACTTAGACAAACATGTACATCTTTCTTTCCTTAGCAATAATTGGGAATGTATTTTATACATGTAGGGAAGAAAAACTTCTTTTAATATGAAATAACTACAAAACTGTTTTATATTTATATGATACAATCAATAGTTGAGATAGGGCAAGTTCCTTCTGTATTAAAGTCTATTCTAATTTTGCACATTTAATAGGATCCTGCCTGCTAAAGTTAATTGAGCAAACTCCTGAATGGAACGCTCAGAAAGTATTTGCTGTTCTGTCACTCGCCTTTTTCTTGGCAAGAGCTTTTATATTGGAATTTTCTTATGGGATCTGACTGGTACAGGATATAATCTTCTACACTACAATTTATACAAAAAATAAGTATCAAAAGATTTAATTTACCTAGAAAATCTCTTTAATCACAGAAAAATATACCAATAAAATGAAGGACCTTTTCACTTTCTCAGTCTTCTGCTTCTAAATGGATGACTAAAGTATGCTTGTAAGCTAGAGTT